TAAGCGTTACCATGTTAATCTTTATGCATTTTTATTCCTAAAACATTATAACCATGAAGTATGAGGTGACCACAGGCTTCATGGAGTCTTCATCACTGTGAGAGCATCTGGTCTCTAATACGAGGTGTAAGTGAAGCAAGGCCATGCGGGTGTAGCAGGAATACCTGGAAGGCTTGGTTGGGTTGGTGGAAATCAGTACAGTTTCTTTTTTGACTGGTTGGGATTTTTGGGATTGCTTTTTCCTAACTAGGTTTGTGTGACAAGTTGATAACATTGTTCTCCTACAAACTAGGTGAAATTAAGGCTTGTTAAAGAGCATCCTACAATTTTTTCTGGTTTAGCTTTTGGAGATATCCCATTCTGAACGGTTAAAATGGGGAGCAGAACAAAAGCAGTGGTACTTGATCTGCTTGGAGGGTATATGTATCTCGGAGGTGTACTCTTCAACCTTCCTCCAGGCATTACACACTGTTAACTGAACTTTCAAGTAGATGTCTGCCCATTCCACCAAGGAGGCAGTTCTGCAGTGTTAACACGAGCTCACAGATAACACCATCTCCAAAACCCACGGATCAGGATTCATCCTCCTTTTTGACATAGAAGCATAGAACAGTTTGTGTTGGAAAGGACCTTAAAGCTTCTCCAGCTCCAACCCCTGCCCCGGGCAGGGACACCTTCCACTAGAGCAGGTTGCTCCAAGCCCCTGTGTCCAACCTGGCCTTGAACACTGCCAGGGATGGGGCAGCCACAGCTTCTCTGGGCACCCTGTGCCAGCGCCTCAGCACCCTCACAGGGAAGAGCTTCTTCCTTCTGCTAATTCATAGTGTGCAGAAAAAACCTGCTAGAATTCTTCAGGTTTGTCAGAGTTTCATTTTCATGTCTTTGTGTATATGCAGGCTATATACTCTCAAAGAGAGGGCCTTCTTCCTCTTAAACAGACAAAAATTAGTCTCAGTTCTCTCATTTAACTATTAACAATAATAATAATAAAAGTAATAATTGAGCAAACACAAAAGACTTCGAGGAAAACTATTCAGTAGCTTGTGGCAATGCATTTAATTACCATGAAATTATCTCTTGTGTCTCTTCCATTTAAGATCTGCTCAGGCGTTTTCCTGCGGAGGTTCTGCAGCTTGTGCTGAACCTCTTGCAGAACTCTTACCTAATCTTTGCATGAGCATTAGTTCATGCATTGATCTAATGCCATCTCAAAGGGAACAGTCAAGAAAAATTAAAGGTGATAAGAGAAGTTCTCATTAGTATGCTGGGAGTAGAAATGGAATCTGCTTTTTCCCCCCCTGTAGACTTAAATGAAATGTAAAGAAGAATGGGTGCAGACAGGTTTCTGAAAGAAGGAAGATAAAACTCATTAATTCTCTCAATTCATTACCTTTGCCATCCATAATAGGATACTGCTCAACCAAGTTAGACCACAAGATTATGGCCAGAGGCTTCCTGAAGCTCATAATTTCTTTGTATCCCTTCTAGTATTTAAACACAATAATAAATAGGTGTAGATGATGCACCTGCAGGGCTTTATGAAAATCCAGTGCAGTGATTTTTGATGAGAGGATATCAGCACTGATTTTGTGAACACTGCTGTTGGTCACTTGTGGACACTGGAGGGGAATATTTTTTCCCATGTTTTCTTATTTCTTACCTTATTTCTTAGGTGGATAAAAGCATTTTTATCCCACTCCTCAGTCATTGAGAAAGACCTAAAGCTCCACACCACAGTACCAAGGAGCTTCAGAAACAACCCCCCTACACACACAACATATCAGCACGGAGAGTCTCTGTTGACTGCAATGTGAGGTGGAAGGACTGTGTGTAATTTACTCCACCTTTATGAAATATCTGTGTTTGTCCATCTCTTCTGGACTGGGATGGGCAAAATCCCACCTTTTTTGCTGCTCATCACACTACCCAAGTTGTGCACTCGAGTAGCAACTGCCTGCTTGCAGCGCTGCGGTAAAAACCTCTCTTGTCTTGCAAAGAAGCTGAGAATTTTCACAATACTTATTTTTTTCTCCTGAATTGTTAGAATTCAGTGGGGGGGGGTTTAAACTTCTCATAGTCGAGTTCTGGTGCCTGTAGCTGCAGAATCAAACTGGGAAAACACGACTGGAATCTGTGAACGCTCACAAGCCAGAGGGCGAGAGAAAAGCAACCCCGATCTTTGAATGTTTGGGTAATGTTGCTTATTTATTTATGGGTAACTAGTCACTTGAGGCTAGCAGCGTTTTAAAACATGTTTGCATGAAACTGAGGATGCTCTTCAGCTGTTTAGTTAACAAATGAAGTACTTCAGTATTGGGATGTACAAGGCAATGAGCTGTGAAGATAAGTGAATACGTATGAATATCATATTCTATGATTCTATATTTGATCATGATAATCTAGTAGCCTCAAATTAGTATAGTTTCTGCAAGGGGAAGTTTTATATGTGAAGATTGGAAAGATACTTTGATACACTGAGTTCTTTTTGGTGTCTGAATACCTCGAGGAATAGGTCAGTAACATGAAATTTCAGGATGATGCAAAGTTGTTGAAATGGTTCAAAAAATTGAATGTGTATTTAAAAAAAAGTTTAATTATATATAAGTGAAGTAGCCAATGGATGTTTGATTTGGGTGGCTGTGAGTCAGGCTAGCTAATGCTACAGGCTCCACTAACGCACCTGTA